CATCTGCACATTGATTTATTTTGAGCTGGTTTAACAACTGGCACGTTTCTCCCTTAAGAACAGCCAAACTGTTGTCAAATTAGAATGCTGAGAAATCTCCAGCAGATTCCTAACTTCAGAGTAAGCTCTTTGGATGAATCCATGATAGTAAAATATCTATCTATCATCTATCGATCTATATCTATCTATCTATCTATCTATCTATCTATCTATCTATCTATCATCTATCTATCATCTATCTATCATCTATCTTTATCATCTATCATCTATCATCTTCCTTCCTTTCCTTTAAAGTTGTATTCTGTCACTTGCTGCTTTCAAAATCTCCCCATGCCTTCACGCTGCTTAACTTGAGAGTAGCTGAGTTTGTCAAACGTAGAATGACACTTCCCATCAAGGCTTACCTGATGATAATGTCTGACAAAAAAGCTTTCTGCTTCTATTGATTCTATTGACAAAGTGTCCCATTTAAAAAATGTTAGTGCATTAATGTAATCCATAACTATTAGTAAGGAGAATGCCCTGGGTTCTGTATTAAAAAAGAAGAAGAAGCAAACCCAAATGTTGTTCATAATCTTTTACTTAAGCAGGAAACAGACACATGTAAGCATACATAAGTTCTTTATCATTATTATATTGAATATTTCAAAATGAGTTGCCCAGAAGAAGAAAAGTCCTTCAAAATCGTATCTTTCATCAAGAGGCTTGACTGCAAATAACATTCTGCATAGCTTTCTGTAAATGTGCCATGCTAAAATTTCCCTGCTCAATTACACAGGCATTCTTGGCGTTAATTTTAATCTGTTCCACACCATAGGCAAATGGCTTCCCCCTCGCCACCAGGGAAGAACGGCTGAGTGAAGATCTTCATCAGGAGCAAAGATGGAGTAAAGATTTACATCAGGATCTGCTGCCCCTCATGGGTGGGCAAGCCCTGGTGGCTTCAGGCATCACCACCACCACCACCACCACCATCATCATCATCATACCTTTATTGTCAATGTACAACTTGTGTACAATGAAATTAACCAAGCCTCCCCCCCCCCAAACACTCAGTCTCATTGCACTCTGTGTGCTTGTCGCACAACACACCAATCCTGAAAGTCAGTTGCACTATATTATTTTCCGTTCAGCAGTCTAATGGCCCACAGATAGAAACTGTTTTTTAGCCTGTTGGTACGGCTGATTATACTTCTATATCTCCTGCCCGGGGGTAGAAGATTAAAGAGGTGCTGGCCAGGGTGTGAATCGTCCCTGAAAAATTTTCTCACTCTCCTAAGGCAACGATCCCTTGTGATGTCATCTAGCAGGCTCAGGGGACAGCCCATGATATCATGTGCTGTGTTCACCACCCTCTGTAAAGACTTTCTGTCTGTGGCTGTCAAGCCAATGTACCACACTGTGATACAATATGAGAGGACACTTTCTATTGTGGACCGGTAGAAGGAGGTCATCAATTGTTGTTTAACATTGTTCTTTTGCGAAACCCTGAGGAAATGGAGTCTCTGTTGGGCCTTCCTAACCACCTGAGTTATACTGTTTTTCCAAGTGAGGTCTTCACTAAGGTAAACTCCCAGGAATTTGAAGAAGGAGACTCTCTCCACACAACCGCCCTGATATACAACAGGGCTTTGCATTTGGTAAAGGTGTATCCTTACCCCAAGGTTTTCTCTAACCATAGGTAAAAGGTTAAAGGAAAGCACCCCTGGGCAGTTAAGTCCAGCCAAAGGCAACTATGGGATTATGGTGCTCATCTCTGCTTTCAGGCCAAGGGAGCTGCTGTTTGTCCACAGACAGCTTTTCCAGGTCATGTGGCCAGGATGACTAAACTGCTCCTGGTGCACAGAAGACCACCAGAGCACACAGAAACGCAATATACCTTCCTGCCATAGCAGTACCTATTTATCTACTTGTTCTGGTGTGCTTTCAAACTGCTAGGTTGTCAGGAGCTGGGACAGAGCAACGGGAGCTCACCCTGTCACAGGGTTTCGAACTGCCAACCTTACAATCAGCAAGCCCAAGAGGCTCAGTGGTTTAGACCACAGCACCGATATGGTTCTTAGAGTTTTTCATATTAAGCAATTTAAAAATGTTTTTAACTTAAATATCCCCCCATTGCCACCTTTCCTGTCTCCACTCTGAGCAAGATTTCTCTAACAACCAAACGTCTACTTTCTTTCTCTCTCTTCTTACTTCCTTTCCCAATTGCCCACCATTCTCCCGAGTTCCCATCTATGCCTTCCTTGAGCTGGCTCCAACTTTCTGTGAACTGCTGACCTAACTTTGACGCTCTGCCTGTTTTCCGACACAACTTTTGCCTGTGCCTTCAGTTGCCATAATCTGGAAGTGCTTCACTTCCCATAAAGGCCCTGATGTTGCTGTTACATGTGCTTTGACCAGTCACCAGCAGTCACTCTGTCTCTTATCTACCACAACTCCCAGACAAGCAGCTCTTCTGCTTCCCTCACAGATCCAATACAACGGGGGAACCTGTGGCCTTCCAGATGTTGTTGAACTACAACTCTCACCAGCCCCAGCTAGCAAACCAATGGTAAAGGATGATGGGAGTTGAAGTCCAACAGCATCTGCAGGGCCACACATTCCCCACCCTTGCTGCTCAACATTCTTCACTGAATTGCGAGCATCACTCTGGCATCAAGTAGAGCAGTACTGTTGAGCTTTTTTTTTGGAAGGGGGGCAAAGTTGTTCACCTTTTTTTACTTTTGACCAAATCTGTTGTGCTGTTTTTGCAAAGAAGAAGCAGCTTTTGAGCTATTTTTAAGGAAAATCGCCAAAATCTACACTTCTGACATGGGTTGCAATATGTCCAGATTTCCCCTGACATTTCAGTGATTTCCACCCAGACACTGTTTCCAATGGCCGGATCCTGGCTACGTCTGGAAGCTTGTAGCTACTTGATTCCACCCTAGCCCTTTTAGCTTTGGCACTGTGCTAGGCTAAGTGAAGGCTTGGTTTGGCATGTAGTATGAACTGGAACTTGTTGTGAAGAGCAACCCTTGGCCATAGCTCATAGTTAGTGAGGAGGAGAGATCTATGGCACAAGTCTGGATTTGGATAACACAATGTGGCTTAGCTCAGTGCGGCGTAGTGGTAAAAAAGACAGGGGACTCAGCTATACAGCTGCAAATAAAATGTTTTAAATGCGTTGTAAAATGCAATATACAAATGTGACACTAGATGGCAACAATGAGCTATGCCAAATCAAATGTATTTTTCAAAACGTTTTTAAAAAGGCATTTTCAATATGTCTCTAGATTCCACCAATGGGAAGCAGCTGTGAGCTCTTTTCCAGCAGTCCACCACACATTCCTGTGGTCCCAGTAAGCCTTAATTTGGAAAACTGTGTTGTGTGAACCAGGCCACTGCAAGGAAACCGATCCACAACTCTTCTTCCCTTACTGGTTGTTTTTTTTTAAAGAGCTCTTAAAATATATTTATGATGACTTCCTCATCTCCTTGAAGAAATTCAGTAAGCAGCAAAAGTAGTTATTTTTAAATATTAAAAAATATAGTAAGTCCCCTGCTGTCCTGCTCCAGTAGTTAGCTCTGTTTACAAAGTGTTTTCATTGTATTTTCTCAGTCTCAAATGCCTTTTTAGTTTTAACATTGGGGGGGGCAGGGCAAAACAGGTTTTGTGTGAATTCAGAGTAACAGCACAATCATAAACCTATTTACTCAAAAGTATGGGACGCAGGTGGCACTGTGGGTTAAACCACAGAGCCTAGGGCTTGCTGATCAAGAGGTCAGCGGTTCGAATCCCCTGTAACGGGGTGAGCTCCCATTGCTCGGTCCCTGCTCCTGCCCACCTAGCAGTTTGAAAGCACGTCAAAGTGCAAGTAGATAAATAGGTACCGCTCTGGCAGGAAGGTAAACGGCGTTTCCGTGCACTCCTCTGGTTCGCCAGAAGCGGTTTAGTCATGCTGGCCACATGACCCGGAAGCTGTACACCGGCTCCCTTGGCCAATAAAGCGAGATGATCGCCGCAACCCCAGAGTCGGTCACGACTGGACCTAATGGTCAGGGGTCCCTTTACCTTTACCTTTACGCCTCACTGTATTCAGCAAGGCTTACTTCCAGCATCAACCACATACAGCACAATCCTAACCATATTTACTCAGAAGCAAATCTGATTGAATCCAATGGGCCTTTATACTAGGTAAGTGAGTGCAGGATTGTAGCCTAAACTTGTTTTAAAGAGGGTTGTTTGTTGTGGCTGTGATACTATACCTCTAACCACCATCCTGTCAAGCTAGGAATACAAAAGCTTCCATGCTTCTAGATAACCAGCAGATAGCAGGATGCAAAATAGGAAACCTTTCAGAATTTTAAATTCAGATGGGGAAATCAGGTTGTTTAATAAACTTTTCTCTCTCGCCATGATTCAGTTGGGGTCTGGGAGTCCACCTTGAAAAAAATGCAGTTCTGGGGGATATTTTATCCTTTCCAATACGGACCTGCAAGAAGATTGTTTTCCTCAAAACTAAACTTGCTTCAACCTTAACAATTCCAAACATTTGAAAAAACGTCAAAGAACTATATTGTCTGCCACATTTACAGTGGAATTCTATACATGCCTACTTAGAAGTAAGTTCCAGTAACTTCCACAGGGATTATTCCCAGGTAAATGGGGTTAGGATTTTAGGCTCAAGTGACATGTTCATTGTCAACCTCACTATTTTGTACTAGATAAATAACAGCTTTCATTCCATATAATGCCTTATAAATGCAAGAAGCAATTAATATAATTCTATACGCACTGACCTAATGATACAGTTGAAAATAGATCATAATGTTTTAACAGTTAATGTAAGTTATTTCGCTGTTGTCTGGCCTCCACCAAATTGAATCAGATCTCTTTCTTACCAGCTCATTTACAGGATAGATGTAATTGGAGTTCCTGTTCAGATTTATCCAAGATCAAAACCAGGCCCAATCGGTGGGGCTAGCAAGATATGCTCTCCTACATTTCAGCAATAGTGTTAGGCTACTGTTTTATGAATCTGCTGAAAAGCTTCTATTGGCAATAGACTGCTCTGAAGTTTTGGCTTTTCGCTGGTCTTCTGAAGCATCTTTAAGCGACCTTCCAGTCTCTGGGTCCATTCACGTCGGAGCCTGGGGCCAAGGAAGAGACGCTCTCATCAGTAAAATCCCTCGCCAGATTTTTCAGATGTCTAGCTCTTTTGCATGATAGCAATGCTGTCCCTTTTCTTTCATCACCAATGCACTTGTCTTGTGTTAATTTAGCAAAGGTATCTCTCCAGCCTTCTGGCTGGGGACACAGAGAGAATACTAATGGCATAGCTCATCATCAGTGTGAAACCTGGTGACATTGCTAGATTCCAGAGGAGTCAAACAACTGGGAAAATGCTGTCATTAGATATATGCCACCTTCTCCCCAGGGTATTCCCTTGATGAAGCCTAACTGCTGCCTCATAGGAAAAAAATCGTATAATGCATGCATTGGAAATGACATCAAGGAAATCTGTGAGCACAGACTGCTGTTTATGTTACTCCTGTCAAAACAAAACTCAGTGAATTGTCTAAATAATATGCATGCCGTTTGAATCAACAATATGCAGTTTTAATGTTGCCTAGACACTTTCCATATGCCTGATAGAACTTTTAATGTACGACCAGGTTGACAGAAAATGTCCCAGTGAAAGATAAAGATTCCCACCCACTGCAGACATCTCTTAGGAAGGATATAGATTGTAGGGGAAGTGGCTGAGGCACAGAAACAAAATGTCAGTAAAGTCCAGTGCCAAAAGGATCGAGGGTATTAAAATCTGGAGTAAAATCTAGTCTATTGACATTTGTTACAAAGGCTACATATATTGTGTTTTCTTGAAATGACCAGAGGCTGGATTTTGTTGGGCTCTGCATTGGATTGTGTGGACTGCGTCCTTGCAGTGGGGTGTGAGTGGAGATTGAGTCTGCAGATGAATGAGGAGCAGGAGAATAAGTGACCGGATGTGTGTGGAGTGTTTCAGCATAAGTCTTGGGAAATACTTATGGGGAATAGAATTAGGGGTCTGCTATGATGGTAAGCATGGGCAGGGGGAGATATGGTAGGGGATCGAACTGGACAGGAAAAGAGAAGAGGGAACAGATGTTGGAGGCGATCCCCACTTCCAGTCCTTCCATCCGTCCTTCCAGATCTAGGTTGGTCTGCCATTTTACTCAGTTGTTTAATGCCAGATATGCCCATAGTGAGATCTCTACCATTCACAACTTGATCATGGATGATGGGGCTGGCTGATTTGTATTACTGAGACCTGGATAGATGAGCTGGGTGGCGTTAATCTGACTCAGCTGTGTCCACCTGGGAACGCATCAAAACAGTCTGGACAGTTGGGGCGGTGAGTGAGGAGTCACTGTAGCAGTCAACAAGGATGATATCTCCCTCACAAGGAGACTCCCTTGCTCCCTTGAGGGCCTGCACCTGGTGTTGGACCACACATAGAAAAGGGGTGCTGCCCGTGATCCTCACTGTCCAGTATTCTCCCTACCCAAGCTGGTGGAGCTAGTCTCAACAGTGGTGTTGGAGAACTTCAGGGCCATTTTCCTGCGGGACTTCAGTAGACTTCCTGTGCCTGTCTTAAAGGGACCAACTTGAGACTTCACGGTCCCCATTACAACTGTGGAGATGTCTCAATATATTGCTGGCACAATGCACAGAGACAGATATATTGATTGTTCTTTGCATGGGGTGGGGTCTGGAGTGGGGAGAGTTGTAATGACCTCCTTGTCATAGTCAGACCATTTATTGTGGCGACACTTTCCACCCGTAGGGATGGAGGACTTATTGAGATGGTCCACCCCTGGAGACCTTTTGAAGTCTGAAGCATTCCTGAATGCTCTGGGGGATTTCCAGGTGACAGAGCAGGCAATCTTTTTGAGCCTCTAGTCTCACAATAAAATGGTGAGAGGAGAGGAGTTGGTGTTGACCTTTAAAGCCCTAAATGGCCTTGGCCCAGTATACCTGAAGGAGCGTCTCCATCCCCATCGTTCTGCCTGGACACTGAGGTCCAGTGCCAAAGGTCTTCTGGCGGTTTCCTCATTGCGAGAAGCAAAGCTACAGGGAACCAGGCAGAGGGCCTTCTAAATTATTGTTATGGAATGGGACATCCCTATTTTCATCGGGGACATGTTGGTCTCAATTAGTTCTCAATTAGTTCTGAGGGCCAATGTGGAAGGGAGCCCTCCACACAATTGGAACAGCAGGGACCAGAACTTAGGAGCTCTTGACCCCAGAAAACAGAGCCATCTGACTGTGTCCATGGTGAAATTGTGCAGAAACAGCCACACCTACTATTGCAGAAAATTATGGAGTTTTGGCAAAATACGTGATAACGCTTTTGACAATAATCAACATACAATCTAAGTACTTTTAAAAATCACAAGTGTGAAAATGCAATAAGCTGAAGATCCTTTATGGTATAGCGCCAAGAGCGGAACCAGTTGATAATATAACTGGAGGCCATTGATGACAGATTAACTTCTCAGCAATACTATGCACGGAAAGCACCCAATATTCTAGGCCAAGAATGAAATGTCACTGCTCAATATACCACTGAGTATTGTTGCCTGCCTCCTTTAATGTCTCAATAAGCATTGCCTGGCCTTTTAAGGCTGTGGTCATTTTCATTTTGTTTCCAATTTAGATTGCAAATTACTGTTTAATATTTATTTTTCAGTTTGATGTGCCCTGTAGTCAAAGCGGCATTCTCAAGAGGGCATAGTCAAGATCTTAAAAATCAGTCTAATCAGCAGGGAATATCTTTATTCAAAGCACAGTCTCTCTTTGGCCAAGTGCGACTTGCTAACTACAACAGCCCAGGGAACATAAAGAGAATATTTGTCTTCACTTCAGGCTGCTGCTTGCTCATAATCATCAGCTGCCCTTGGGAGGGAGGTCAGTCTCTCTATCTAGCCTGTTGAATTAAATGAACATTGTTTGAATTATCATTTGTAAAAGTTACTTTGTGTGGAGCCTCTGTGCGTTATTTGGTTGTGGTGGAAATTTCTAATGAAGAGCTGGGGAAACTTTGGAGGAGACTAGAGCGTTCCTTCCAGTTCTTGGAGTCTGCTAATCTGCTAGCAAGGACAGCAGGCAAAGGACAAGGTGAGAGGCCCTTAATCCACTGTAGCCATTAATATCTCCAGTCGTAGTCAAGGCCAGCAGGACAGGGGAAAAGACTTGGTGGGTCAGATGAGATGGGGTGGTGGTTCACCATCTGGAAAAGCATTCCTGAGAGATGCCCATCCTGTCTCTTCTTGAAAACCTTCCATAAAAGGCATCTTCTTTCATTATTGAACTGCAGAGAGTTTGGTGCTCATTGGCACACTCTCAGAGCCTCTAGGTGTCCCTATTTTCCAGGAGCGTCCCTGACTTAGAGAAGCCACCCCAGTTTCTGATTTGATCCTGATTTGAATGTCCCACTTTTCCTTAGGATGTCTCGATTTTCATTGGAGAAATGTTGGAGGGCATGGTAAAGGTAAAGGTACCCCTGACCATTAGGTCCAGTTGCGGTGGACTCTGGGGTTGCGGTGCTCATCTAGCTTTACTGGGCGAGGGATCCGGCGTTCGTCCACAGACAGTTTCTGGGTCATGTGGCCAGCATGACTAAGCCGCTTCTGGTGAACCAGAGCAGTGCACGGAAACGCCATTTACCTTCCCACCGGAGCGGTACCTATTTATCTACTTGCACTTTTGATGTGCTTTTGACCTGCTAGGTTGGCAGGAGCAGGGACCAAACAACGGGAGCTCACCCCGTCGCGGGGATTTGAACCACCGACCTTTTGATCGGCAAGCCCTAGGCTCAGTGGTTTAGAGCGCAGCGCCACCTGTGTCCGGAGGGCATGGTAGGATGTCTCTATTTTCATCAGAGAAATGTTGGAGGGTGTGGAGTTATCCACCCCCTGAGCCATCTGAAAACAATCCTGTATAGGGAATTTTTTTTTTAATGTTTAATGTTTTATTATGGTTTTTTTTATATATGTTGGAAGCTGCCCAGAGTGGCTGGGGCAACCCAGTAAGATGTGTGGGGTATAAATAGGAAATTTATTGTTATGGAATGGGACGTCCCTATTTTCATCGGAGAAATGCTGGAGGGTATCTACTCTAAGGGGCAGAACTATTGGAGACGCCCATTTTAGAGGACCCCCTACAGTCTTTTGCTTGGCAGCTTCCACGCGAGTAAGAGAAAACCACTCACTTATTCAAAGCACTTCTGGTTAACTGAAAGTCTTCAACTTCTTTTTGCTTGGCCTGTGTTTCTTCGATGATTTCTTCCCAAAAGTTCTTCAAGCCACGGGCATCATGGACTGCCACACCGCGGCGTTTGGAGCCAAGATGTTGATTCATTTTTCTGAAAAGCAAAGCAAAGATATGAAGACCTTCTCAATGGTAATTTAGGAAATAATATGTGTGCTAAGAAAATGGTGAACTGTTTCCCCCACCTTTCTCTCTCCATTAGAATTTTCACATACCCCTGTGAAAATTTTTCCATTCCCCTGCCAAGTGGCAGACATTCTGCATGTACTAAGTACATTTAGTCTTCATTAGGAAGTTTTATGGGGGTCAAGCTTTCTTGTACTTCTGCAAAGCTTTGAATTCCCTTGTGTATGCTAAGACATGCTCTTGTTTCTCAGAGTCCCTGTTTTGGCTACAATGCTGTCAGCGCCCGCCACCTGACTTTGCTATTAGAGGGAGTCGTATAACTTGATATGCAATATAGAGCGCCATTTTTCACCTTGCATGTCCTCCTTTCCGGACTTTCAGTGAACATGCTTCTTTCCACAGATTTATTGATAGCTTGTCGTTGTCGTCTTAAGGAACATGTCTTCGGAATTGCACACTGATCTACAGTGGTTAAAGATTGTTCTATATTTTAAGAAGCATCTTCATAAATACACATGAAACCAATCATGCGGCCCTATCTGCCAACAGAGATTAGATTTCATAGCTGGGGTGGAGAAACTTTTGCCAGCTTCGTTCCGGGATGGCAGTCTATGTGCCAGTGGAGGGTGGCGCAAGAGGCAAAAATGAATAAATGGATATGATTATTACCTCTGATGGTGACCTGGAAACTACAACTAACCCAGAATGCGACTGGTGACTGGGAGTGGCCGCCAAGACCATGTAACACTGGTCCTGGAAGACCTACATTGGCTCCCAGTACGTTTCCGAGCATATTTCAATGTGTTGATGCTGACCTTTAAAGCCTCGGCCCAGTAGACCTGAAGGAGCGTCTCCACCCCCACCATTCAGCCCAGACACTGAGGTCCAGCACCGAGGGCCTTCTGGCGGTTCCCTCCCTGTGAGAAGTGAGGTTACAGGGAACCAGGCAGGGGGCCTTCTCAGTAGTGGTGCCTGCCCTGTGGAACGCCCTCCCATCAGATGTCAAGGAAATAAACAACTATCTGACTTTTAGAAGACATCTGAAGGTAGCCCTGTTTAGGGAAGTTTTTAATGTTTGATGTTTTATCATGTTTTTAATATTCTGTTGGGAGCCCCCCAGAGTGGCTGGGGAAGCCCAGCCAGACGGGTGGGGTATTATTATTATTATTTCCTTCATATAATAGCAGGGGTTGGCAAACGTTTCCGCCAGTGGGCTGGATTGCCTGTGCGCAAGAGCGTGCGCATCCATGTGCATGCGTACACACTCACCACTCTTTCCCCGCTGGCTTTCAGAGCCATGGCGGGGGAGGAGCCAGCATCCGCGGCTTCCTATTGGCTGCAGGAGCTTCCTGCAACCAATAGGATGTCGTGGCTGCGTCCTTGAAGTCAGTCCCCACGCGGCGACTGACCGAGCAGGTGGCAAGGGCCGGGGGGGGGGCGGCCTGACGACCCCCTCAGGCCATATCCGGGCTGTGGGCCGTAGTTTGCCTACCCCTGTATAATAGGCTACATTGCAGCTGTGCAAAAGTCAGAGGGCTCTACACCCACATCTCTCCACAAGCAAGAGATATTATCACCATTCAGGGATACATTTCAGCCAGGCAAATGCACTCCAGGCTGCTGCAAAGCAAGACCACCGAGGGTGTGTGACCTATTGGCATGCAGAGGGTTGAAAGGCCAGCTGGCTAGCCCCCAGCTGAACCGTCTCCTTCCAGCCGTCCCGCTGCGAAGACCCATCGGCCTCTGCTTCGACGTAAATCAGCGACCCAGGCTTCAAAGCCAGGGTACACTATGTCAGCAGAGTCAACTGTGCACACAGAATAGGCCTGAGGCTTATGGAAGCATACTACAACTACGGATTTATCAATCATTAATTAGGACAAAGAAACATGTTGTCTCTCTCTTTCTCTTCTCAGAGAACAGGGAAAAGCAAAAGCTATACACACAATGGAAGTTCCCAGCAAGCTGTGCTGGTATGTAAACAGACATGTGACATGCAACAGTTCCATGTATGCAACTAAAGGTGGAATAGAATTTTCCAACATGACCTACAGAGGGATGTGCGGCCTGCACAGGGATGTGTGGCCTAGTGACTGTCCCAAGAGTTGGATAGAAAGGCCTGAAGAGCTGCATTTGACCCTCAGGAGGGAGGTTCGCTACTGTATTATAGTGAAATAGAACCTCCACATTCAGAGGCAGTTTGCCTCTAAAAATTATTTGCTGTTGCATTTGCATCTTGCATAGGAGCTTCCCAAAAGCATATCACTGGTTGTTGTTGAAAACACGATGCTGGACTAGGGCTTGCCCAGCCATTAAGGTGAGACAGGCAGCCACTTCAGGTTGTATATACTGGAACGTGGAGTTGTAGTTCACAGCTGTGCCTTGATGTGGCCTACTCTACACCTTTCCTCAAACTAGCCTGTTGCCCTCAGGTTCATTTGAAATTGTTTTCTCATCATCATTGCTGAACTTCCTCTGCGTACATGCCATACATTGAAAGCACATGACTTCCTCCAAAGAATTCTGGGAGCTGTAATTTGTTAAGGGCTGGAGGTTGTAACATTGTGAGGGGATGGACTACATTTCCCAGGATACCTTAGGGGAAGCTAGGTGCTTTAAATTTATGGAGCGTTAGGGAAATAAGATTCAACAGCCAACTAAGTTGACTGTTGTACATGGAATGGGGGATGCAGGCACCATCTTGTGCCTCACCTCAGGCAATAAAATACTTTGGGTTCAATGAACATTTGGGAGGATTCAACATTTTATGTTCCTAGGGTTGCTATTTTGAGATACTTTCCAAGCTCTCCCAGCCTGGTTTCTTGGGTTGTTTCATGGGAGAAACAGCACCAAGCCCGAAACTGGAACCCACATTTGATAAATAGCCCCAACTGCATTCTCCAATGCAGCCACCAAACATGAAATCTATCGGTGTAACAGGAGGAAATGAGACGGGGTGAGGGAGACTTCCTTTTTTACATTCACTTCTCTCTATAGCGAGCGCTCAGCACCACCCTTTGACAGGCATGCTTGTAAAATAGGAAACGCACAGACAGCGTTAGGAAAATGCAGAGACAAGTTGAGTTTTGCATTTGTCTAATGCTGTGCTGAAAAATATAACTCTGTTCCTTTCCTCCTTTGAAAATGAGGGGTGCCTTAGAACCATCTGTTGAAGGCAATGATGAAACTATTGAATGTAGTGGCGTTTGAACGCCTCTGAAACTCAGTACTGTCAAGCTGAGTTCAGTGCGAGACAAGTTATACTTCATGCTGAATTCTAGAATTTAATAGTTGCTTTGCTTAGAGGTACTCTGCAAAGGTCTGGCTTCGCCTTCCTAGTCTTATGGGATAAATCAGTGAAATAATGCCATTGCTTTAGTGAAAAATGAAAATGGCCATGTTGGGGGCGAACTCTAATGCTGCCATTCTGCTTTTGATCCAGCAGAGGATTCCGGTAATTCGAGAGATGAGAATGTGATTTTCACCAGTTCCCCCCCTCCCACTGTAGTTTCCCCCTTTGCCCTCTGCAAATCTCTTTCAGGGGGCTGGTGACCCCACAGAACATTGTGAAAGGTGCCTGCAGATGAAAAGGGGGGAGTGGACAAAAATCGCATCTCTTCTTACATTTGTGGACATCTCCATGGGATCAAAAGCTTTTATACAAGCAGAATAACAGCACTGGACTTCACACTTCATGTTTAGATGAGGTATTTTAAGTGTGAATTCATGACAGTCAAGACTAGTCTCTATATACTTTAAATGCTTTTTTATTTTTAAAAGATATCTAGTGGGAATTCACATTAACTTAACTTTGGTAAGTGAACTCTCCTCCCCTCCTTTCTGTGACTTAAAACTGGAGAGCAAAGTTATCTGATTTCAATGAACTTACGAGTTAATACTTCAGAAACTATTTATTTAAATATACCTTAAAATATACCTTTAGTTTTATATATTCTTTAACATTTCAAAGCCCCTCACTGGAGTCTTATGAACAAATGACACCTCAGGTGAGATGAGTGCTACAGGTCTTCCAGCTTACTCACAGTAGTAATAAGTACTAGTACAATGAGACTTACTCATGGATAAGGTGTGCACAGGATTGCAGCCTTTAAATGAAAACATTGTACATAGAATTATGACTAAAGCATGCTTTAAATCAAAAACTAAAACAAACAGCTTCCATTGTTATTAGTACATGGATATGAGGTGGAACGGTAATCTTATTAAACATGGATTTTGAGGGGCATCTTCTCTGAGTGTTTTGATAGTCTTTGACATTTTACCTTAACATAGCAATTTAAATACTAATGTAAAATACAAACATGAAAGACTGTAGAGATCAGATAACTTGGGGGGGGGGGAATCTAACACCACATTAAAAATCTGGTAACATTATTAGCTGCATAAAAAGATCAGAGAAAAACTGATTACTGTGTCACACCCTGCAAGATAATAGAATAATAATCTGTCAAATAATTAAAGGCTTACTTTAATAATACAGAAGCTGCTTCTTCCACCAGGCTTTTCTGGAGATAGCTGTGAGATGTGCTACATTTACCTTTAGGTCCCTCTCTTTCACACAGGCTCACAGCGGACTGTGTAAACCTCAAATATCTTTTCTTCTGTCACTCATTTTTATTTGGGTTTGGTGACACGAGCTATTTTTGAACCATTTCAACAGGAGGCGAAGAAACTAATCTCCGTCTGTAGAAGTCTACAACACATGAAGTGGAATGGCCAGACAGCTACAAGGCATCAGCTTTGAATGCCGCATTTGATCTCTGCTATAACTTTCAGGCAAGTGTCACTGATGTCATAACTTGGCTCAAGGGAAACAGTTATTCTTTGACAAGTGCACCTCTTAGGAACATGATGCCATGTGACTCGCAGGAACACAGCCCCATCTCCTCCAAGACAACAGAGAGATCTAAGCAGCGTACATTCTATAACATGTCTTGTTTCAGGACTGCGTTACTCAAGCAAGTGACAGAGGGGTCGTTTGGGGGGAAATCTTCTTTGAACTGCTGGCTGGTAAGAACACCTGGCTGGGTGCATGGCAGGAACTCTGGCTTAGCTGTTAATGCTGCGCATAGCAAAGGGATCTGAACTCAAGGGCAGTCCCAAAGCTTTTAAGAATGTGCGACAAACATAGCACACCTACTGTGATGAATGAATAAGCAGAGTCTTTTCTCTGCCTCTGTGCTAGAGGTCAGGATTTATGCCCTATTCTTCATGAGTTTTTCTTCAATTACAGTCATATCTTGGATGTTGAACAGAATCAGTTCCGGAAGTCCGTTTGACTTCCAAAACATCCAGAAACCAAAGCACGGCAGCCAATCAGAAGTCGCTTCTGAAAATCGTTCGAAAACCAGAACACTCACTTCCGGGTTTCAATCATTCAGGAGATGATTTGTTCAGGAGCCAAGGCATTTGAGATCCAAGGTACGACTGTATAGGATGCTACCTGTCATGATCTAGAAACATAGGTAAAGGTAAAGGGACCCCTGACCATTAGGTCCAGTCATGACCGACTCTGGGGTTGCGGCGCTCATCTCGCTTTATTGGCCGAGGGAGCCGGCGTACAGCTTCCAGGTCATGTGGCCAGCATGACTAAGCCGCTTCTGGCGAACCAGAGCAGCACACGGAAACACCGTTTACCTTCCTGCTGGAGTGGTACCTATTTATCTACTTGCACTAGATGTGCTTTCGAACTGCTAGGTTGGCAGGAGCTGGGACCGAGCAACGGGCGCTCACCCCGTCGCGGGGATTCGAACCACCGACCATCTGATTGGCAAGCCCTAGGCTCTGTGGTTTAACCCACAGCGCCACCCAAGTCCCCAAAATCTAGAAACATACTCTATATTTAATATTTGTTCCATCTGATTTCTATTTTAATTAGAGTTGAAGCCTAGCCTTGTCATGGGCAAAGCTAAATACCAGTAACAGAGTTGGTATTATATTTCATTTATTGGTCGCTGTTATTATTAGGAAATTGCATTGTACTGAGTCAGACCGTTGATCCACCTAGCTCAGTACGGTCTACCCTGACTAGCAGGATATTTAGGATATCAGACAGAGGCCTCTCCCAGTCCCACGTGGAGATGTTAGGGATTGAACCTTGGACCTTCTTCATGCAAGCAGAGGGTGTGACCCTTATAAAATGTACCGAGAGCTGTGCACATATTAAAAACATGGCAAGTTCTGCCTACAATTGAAAAGAAAATGCACGAAAGAAAAACCAGATGGGGAGGGAAGAGGAAAACACACAGACTCTGCCACCATTTCCTAAAGTTACATAGACTGCAATCCTATACACATTTATCTGGAAATAAGTCCATTGAACTCAAATAGGATCTCCTTCTGAATAGATACACATAGGCCTGTGTTCATAGTGGATCTTATAATGACTAGGTTACATGGAGACACTTCAGGAACAAACACTTGGGTTTTGGTTTGTGAACAAGAAGAGCTCCATTATTTTCTGTTTTGCCCTTTGCGCATGTTTCTTATTGATGGAATTTCTCCATTAGTGAGCAGTAACTTTTAAATGTCTTCCTTTGAAAATCCGTGTGGAACAGCAGCCCATTCTGTTCTTGAACTTACCACTTGTTTTGCTTGGGACTTGTATGATTATGTAACTGGGTATGAAAATGTGGGCTCATACATGACAAAATACCATTGGTGGGAAGAGAATGGCTCTATAAACACACCCAGTGTAGTTATTTTCTGCCCTCGCTGGAGGCAGTACAAGAATGATAATCCCTTCTGTGGTCGTGCTTATTTTATTCCAGGGTGGGAGCAAATTCATAGTGTTCCAGTGGCATGATTAGAGGAATGGGCTGAAGCTTAGTGGCAGAGTGCATGTTTTGCATGCAAAGTCTTGGATTCAGTCATTGGAAGCTGTACTCAGGAAGCCAGGATGGAAAATAGATCTGCATCAGATAATGGAGATTTGTTGCCAGGCAGGTCAAACCATAGTATTTTTATTTATATTTTACTTGCTCATCCGCAAAAAGAGCTGTGTGACTGATGGGATGTGTTTGCATCTAGCACACTGTTAGAATGTTGTGGTTCATTATTTAGCTGCTGAATTTCAGCAACCTCAGAAAAGAAGCTTGGAAAAAATAGAATTTTAACTTTCAGGATATTATGACTTGCATGATATGCTTTGATTAGTCATACTGTGAACACTTAACACCCTTATATATATTTTCCGAGGTGAAGGAAAACACAATGAAGCAGTAAGTAAAAGGATCCTGTCCTTACTGATGCATCTTGAACTCTGCCCCCACAGCCCTCCACCTTCTTGGCAATGTATGGCAAACCTGTTGACCTGCAGATGTAGCTGGACTAAAGCATCCATCATCTCCAACCATTGGCCATGATGGGTGGACCTATCTGGAAGTCATAGTCTTTCATGTGGGAGGTCTTCTGCAAAAGGCTGTAGCTCATTGGTAGAATATATAATAATAATAATAATAAAAATAATAATAATAAATTATTTATATCCCGCCCTCCCCAGCATAAGCCGGGCTCAGGGCGGCTAACAACAATACAACAGTACAACAGTACAACACAACACAACACTCTAAAATCATTCATTATAAAATTAATTCAAATCAAACCAATGGCAACCATTGGGCCAGAGCTCCGTGAAGATTGCCGAAGGAGGGAGTCAGGCTGTGCCCTGGCCAAAGGCCTGGTGGAACAGCTCTGTCTTGCAGGCCCTGTGGAAAGATGTCAAGTCTACTTTACATGCAGGAGGTTCTAGGTTTCTTTCTTTTCTTTTTTCTTTTAATGCTTTTTATTAAGTTTTCATTTCAAATACACCAACACCAACAAAAATACACAAATCTTTCAAATCTTTTTACATCTGTCTTACTTTACTCTCTGTAGGGCAGTTGACTTCCCTCCTTCCCTTCTTCAGGTTTTCTTATTCCATTCCCTAATTCACAGTTCCTTAATAATAACTAAACCATGACATAAGATTTATTTCAGTCCTGATAACGTCTTCAAATTTCTCCAGTTCTCACTTATATAGACCATAAATTTACTCCATTCTTTTTGGTGCTTTGTTTCCTCCTGACTACGAATCCTATGGGTCAGTTTTGCTAATTCCGCGTACTCGGCCAACTTTGTCTGTCACTCCTTCACAGCTGGTATCTCCTGTGTTTTCCATTTTTGGGCTATCAAAACTCTGGCAGCTGTCATAGCATACATATATAATCTTTGGTCCATCTTCTTAATATCCTCTCCTATCAAACCTAGCAATAGTTCTTCAGGCTTTTTTGGGAATGTATATTTAAGCATCTTTTTAAATTCATTATAGTTCAGTTCCCAAAACTCTTTCATTTTATCACATGTCCACCACATGTGGTAAAAATCACCATCCTTTTCTTTACATTTCCAACAGATTTTACTACTTGTCCTAGGAGGTCCTAGGTTTCAATTCACCAATATCTCCGAGTAGGTCCAGGAGACAACATTGCTTGAAATGCCAGAGAGCAGTGTAGACAATACTGAGGTAAATGGATCACTTTGATGCAAAATCACTTTTCTTACGACTGTTTCTTCACATCTTCAGAACTCAGACCCAGGAGTGTTGAAAGAGGTTCTGGAGTTGGCTGGTTCATATTAAGCACCAATGGGAAAGGAAGGGGAGGAAGGGGAAGTGGAGAGCTTGAAAAGTGAGGGAGCACGGGAGAAAAGATTGAATGAAAATGAGCTGAGGAGGAAAGGGGTCAGGGTCTAAGAAGGATGTGTAAAACTACAAGTTGTGAAGAAAAGTTGTGGGTGTAGTAGGATGGAGCAAGGGGGTGGAGTTGTGGTGGGAAATGGTAGACTAGGCCTTGCCGTCAGTGGCACATAAAAGAACAAGTTAAAAATTAAATTGTTTTCTGTCTTCTTCACTAGTTGTGTCAGTCAGGCCCAGTTTGCTAGCAGTGAGTGGTTGCCTACAAATAACACAGCAGCCCATTGCTAGCTACTGTCAAATTATATTTCCAATGACATGCTATTAATGCCTTTTTTTGGTAAGCTAACTGGTTTGGAATACCATCATTTGAGAGTGAGATATTTCAATCACGTTGGGGACTTTTCTAAAAAAAGCAATCCTGAACTGGCAAAGAAACAGATTAGATGACCTTCTAGGTCTTTCTCATGTATAAGAGTTATACTTTTTCTTTTTAAAAAAACCAGTGTTCCATTTGCTTTTATTCTGCTTTTATTTTGATATGTAATGATCAGATTTTCACCGGATTATTTGCTTGAAGGGCTGTAGAACAATTGCCTTGCCTGTTAAGAGTATTACTATGGGGCCGAATTTCCTCAGAATTTTTTAATGTCTTCCTGTCGCCATTGAAAGCGATGAGGTTGACCTTGGAAATCAGATTGCTCATTGAAAAACAGAATAGGTGACATGAGGAGCTAATGTCTATAAATGTTGTTGAATGGATGACCTTTTGATAAGACAACATGTGATTTAAAACATGAAACTTTTTTTACACTGAATCAGATTATCTGTAGTCTAGTAATATTTATTCTGAGTACCACCAACAGCACTTATCCAGGTTAAGCTCCCTTTAAGGAGGTCATTGGAGACTTATGGCATTTTGTAATATTTGCATTTATTTCCAAGTGCACAGATTGGGCATAATTGGAGGCACAGCCTAAACATGCCACCTATTGGCTCCTTGCACAATTTAGAACCTTGATTGTATTTTTGTGAGGGTGAATGCTCAGATAGAGTTTGTGTGAGTATCAGTTAAACCTATGGTTGAGAGCCCAAGACTGCCTCTCTTTCTGAAGCACCAAATGCCTTTTCTGAGAAGCCAGCAAGCCACAGAGGGCCTGTTCAGATGCACAGTTCTGATATGAAAAAGCCACACCAAAGGGTGCCTCCAGACCATGGGTAGGCAAACTGATGCCCGGGGGCCGGATCCAGCCCAATCACCTTCTAAATCCGGCCTGCGGACGATCCGGGAATCAGTGTGTTTTTACATGAGTAGAATATGTCCTTTTATTTAAAATGCATCTCTGGGTTATTTGTGGGCCATAGGAATTCGTTCATCCCCCCAAAAAAATATAGTCTGGCCCCCCACAAGGTCTGAGGTACAGACCCTTGCTGAAAAAGTGCTGACCCCTGCTCCAGACTGTTGCTATTTTGCAGGAGGGATCCAAGAACTTCACATTGGCACAGCAAAAGTGGACTGAAGTGCTCTGTTGCCTTAGCACAACAAATCCACTTTAGAAAATAAACACACTGAACAGTGTGGAATGGACAAATGGTTCATGGGAAGTAATGTAAACTCCCCATAAGCAAATCAGGATGAATACAGAATGCATTGTCATATAACCAAATCATAAAGAATGCGGAATAAAGACTGGGCAGTCCAACCACTGTGTGAAAGACGTCAATCATCTGATCTCAAGTTTTGTGCAAGCAAACCATGACAAACCATGGAGGAGTACAAATTGATCCCTTCCCTCACTGCTTTGGGATGTGTGTGTGTGTGTGTGTGTGTGTGTGTGTGTGTGTGTGTGCATGTACAGCATATGTTTGTTAGGTAAAATATAACACAAAAGGGATAAATACCCGGAACGTGTTTCAAAGCTAGTTTTTCTGTTTCATAGCATAGCTGGGAAATTAAGACAACTGCACCAAGAGTACATTTGTTGCTTTTATTTGACATCTTCATTAGTTTAGATTGGAATGTATCCGGATTATTAAACTGCCCTGCCAGCAAAAATCACACTGAAAAGGGCTTGTAGTATGTTGCAGATCAGAGCTGTTTCCCCCTTATGCAACCTACTTTAAATGTACTAAATTGTCTCCTATAATCAAGCTATTAGAATGGCATTAAAATATAATCTTCATGAACAGCCTAGCAATTTGTCAAACGTTGCATTACCCTGCCTGACATTTTAATTTCCAAGTTCTTTATTAGTAGATTGGCCCCCTTGATCACAAATTACATGAAAGAGTCTTCATTCTTCATGTTTGAAATCAACAAAAAGAAGTCAGTCTTCTGACCTCATTTTAATCAGTGTAAAAATAGAATGGCTCTATTAAAGTCCGTAGAAAGTTTATCCATATCAGCAGCAATGTAACCAAGATCTGTAGCATATTGTCATGAGTTTGGGGTGTTGAGATGTATGCCAGCAAATATTAGAATTTATTCAAGGCATCTAATGGAGGAATGGGTTTCCCAAACCCAAAACTGACTGTGCAGGCAGTTTGAAACGGGCACTAAAATCCCTATTTTTCCTTAGCTAAAATCCATTAACTTGAGCTCTGAGTCAATGTATAAACAAAAACCCGGCTGTATAAACAAGTGCTCAGAGCCCTCTCCTTTATCAGTTCGTGACGGCAAGGATGACCTTGGCTGTTTCAGTGGAGTAGTGATGACATGTCTAGGTCTTATCTTATGTCCTGATGCAAAGACCTAGTCCGGGAACAGCGCCAGAGTGTTTTCTTGGAGTTGGTGACCTCTTGCTCCAAGATAAGAGTAGGAACAGGAATACCCTTTTATGGTCAGAAGTACAGGAAGGAATACCCTTTTATGGTTAAGAATCCCGGAGCAGGAACATATGTGATGTCAACCTGCGTGTATAGGCTGACGTGGTTGGATTCCTGGGGAAGGAGGGAGAGGGTGCCTGGAGGATATATATACTACATGAAATTTCTCATTTCTTTGGACTTGCTGTGGACACACCACGCAGGTGCCTTTCTGCTGTTCCTGAGAGCAGAAATAAAGAACTCTTTCTCTGAACCAACACTCGGTGTCATTTGACTTCCTTCCTCCTGTCCGGGAGCAACGCAGACCGAATCGGTGAACTCCAATAAGACTACACTAATTCTTGGAATGGCCAGGTTAGCCTCGTGATGAGGTGATAGCCTGGGTGATGGGCCATTAGGGAGGATTAAGGAGCTCAGTGCAAGACAGAAAATGGGTGGGTCCCCTCCTTCAATAGATAAAGCCAGAGTTTAGAGTAGAGAGTTTTTGGGGAGTTATGTGAGCTAGAAGGAATGCAGCAAGCTGGAGGGCGGGAGAGCAATGTTTGAGAGCAATGTTGGATTTCAATTTGAATTCAAGGCTGCAGATATGGGAGAAACAAGACCCCTTTGGGGTGGTAATGCTTTGAACCCCTCCATCACAGGCTGTGGTTCAATATGTGTGTAAATAAACAATAGATTACAAGACTACTGCTCTTAACCACTACACCAAACTGGCGTATTTCCGTGTGCTCTGGTTTTTTTAAAAAAATTCCACATGAGATTCTGGCAGCACTACCAAGGAGTCTGGACATTTTGTTGCTGTTGTATCTTCCCTTTTGGTTTCTTTGCTTCTGTTATAATTTTGTAAAACACCTCCTTCTTCGGGTCACTCATGCAACCGGAGGGAGCAATTGGTTTCTGTATAGTGTGTTGTTGTTGAATGGAACACAGACAGAGCCACCTAACTGCTGTGGACTTAATGAAACGAAACAGCACAAATGAGCACCTGAAACAGCAATAAAAGCTGCACAGAAGATCACCAGCAGGGCATCATCTTTATGACGGTCCCAAGGCCTGGCAGGATAGAAAGGTTGAAAAAAATATATGATAGAAAAGGCCTGACAGGGAGAGAATTCCACAGGGAAAGAGCCACCATATATTTTATTTTTATTTTTTAACTTTTGAAGACAAAGGCATCTAGAAGAAGGCAACACATGAAGCTCAACGTGATGGAATTCATGTGGGAGGAGATAACTTGGCCCATTTAGTGCTTTGACATACAGTGGTACCTCGGGTTAAGTACTTAATTCGTTCCGGAGGTCTGTTCTTAACCTGAAACTGTTCTTAACCTGAAGCACCACTTTAGCTAATGGGGCCTGCTGTTGCTGTGGCACGATTTCTGTTCTCATCCTGAAGCAAAGTTCTTAACCCGAGGTACTATTTCTGGGTTAGCAGAGTCTGTAACCTGAAGCGTATGTAACCTGAAGCGTATGTAACCCGAGGTACCACTGTACACCTGGAAAGTAACTTACGACCACAGATATGTGTTTTGTAGGGGGAAGGACCATAGTTCAGTGGCTGCGCATCTGCGTCACATGCAGAAGATTCCAGGTTCAATACCTTGCATCTTCAGGTAGGGCTGGGGAAGACTCCTGATTAAAATCGTGGAGAGCTGATGCCATTCACTGTAGACAGGACCGAGTCAGAGGGACCCGAGGTCTGACATGGTATAAAGCAACATTCTCTGTTCCTGTCGATTATTCCACCTTTCCATTTTTAATCATCCAGGGCTACTTAGAGATGAGATGAGAGCCAGTGAGGTGTAGCGATTAGAGCGTCAGGCTAGGACCTGTGACACCAGGGTTCAAATCCCCACTTGGCCAGCAAGCTCACGGGGTCACCCTAGGCCAGTCATTTTCTCTCAGTCTGACCTACAAGGTTGTTGTGAGAATTACATGAGCAGGGGGAGAAGAACCATGTAGGCCACCTTGAGCTTCTTGGAGAAAATATAAATGCAATAAATAAATAATATTAAAAACAAATAAGCAATACAATTAAAAATACTAAATGTGCTGTTCACTGGCTGTTTCAAAACAGCTCTCAAAGACAGCCCAGCACAGAGGCATCGCTTGTAATAAAGCCTGGTGGTTGTTGCCAGGGCATGGATATGAGGGGTGAAATCCCAGCTGGCACACCAGAATGAAAGATCTTCCTGGTCATGCCCACCAGCTGAGCATTCTGGGACAAAACAAAACCCGGACGCACCCCAAGCTGTGAACTGGAGCACTTTAAGAAGAGTAATATGCATTGGGCTCACCTTGGCTAACAGACTGTACAGATAGCATTCGACTTTGTTCTTCAGCTGTGATAAGAATTTTAAGGTCTTAGATATATAATAAATTTACCAACCAAGCACGTACATAGATCAGCACAGGAAGACCGACCTGAAACCATTTTTGATTCCCAAACTGACCAAATGTTTTCTCTGCAAGGTCAAAGGAAAATGGAAAAGCCTCCCCATTGTCTTTTCCTTCACAAATCCTGTCTTAAGGGTATGTCTGTGTTTGAATAGGGTGAGCCTGTGACCTGTCTCAGGAACTTAGTATTTATCATTACAAAAGACTGGCCAGGCTCCCCAGGGTATCCAATCAAGTGACCATTAACAGGTAACCTGCCAGACAGGAGATAAACAACGCACTCAGATTTCTGCTGTAGACCGCCTTTTCTGTGATGTAGGTATGATGTATCTGGGGGGTGGTCTTGGGTTACACCCCTTCTGTGATGTATGTATGATGTATGGAGGGGTCTTGAGCTCCAGGGCACGGAATTTAAAATGTCTATATAAGGGCAGACACATCTTTGTTCTGGGTTCCTCCTCCTTTCCTGCGTGTGAGGGGACCACCCTGTTGCAGCAGTTAATAAAGATCAGGCTTACTAGCTGCTTTGCTTCTCAGTATGCTGTGGTTGGCCTCTGTTATTTTCTCCTACCAATAGGGAACCTACGTAAGGACTCTATATGGGCTCTTGGATACCCCATGAGGGAAAAAGGGTAGATTTTGTTTACAACACAACTTTGGGTCCCCCAGTATTGTTGCATTGCAACTCCTATCATTCCTGCCCATTGGCTAAGATGGATGAAGATGATGGGAGTTGTAGTACAACAACATCTGGGGACCCAAGGATGAAGAACACTGATTTGTACTATTCTTGGATAACAGATGATACCCATGGCAGAGTGAGTACAGTGAGTACAGTGAGTACAGAAATAGTGCTTCAGGTTAAGAACTTTGCTTCGGGATGAGAACAGAAATCGCGCAGCGGCAGGAGGCCCCATTAGCTAAAGTGGTACCTCAGGTTAAGAACAGTTTCAGGTTAAGTACGGACCTCCGGAACGAATTAAGTACTTAACCCGAGGTACCACTGTATATCAGGAAAGGGCTGGGTATTTCCTATTTTGCAAATTCTGCTGGTTCTTGACTACATGTTATGAAGCTTCTTTCACACCCAACTCAAACAAGTTTCCTGACATGTGGAACATGGAATAAATAATTGGGACATGATCTGAACCTTGCCCCCTGACAAGGCGTTCTTTTATGATGACTGTGATGGAAAGTTTTATGGCTGTTAAGTACTGGTAGTTTCTCACGAGAGCACTTTCTCCATTGCAAAAATAATGTAAATTAATCGTGTTTCCTTCTCACACTTCTGTGGTGTTGGAAGAAACCTTTTAAAGTGTGAAGGAGAGCATGTGTTTAGGAAATTGCCTGCCAAACTCAAGAAGAGGCAGGAAATGACAGCTCTTCTATGCACTAATGCTATTGCTTGTACAAAGGCACAGACTGAAATGCAATTCAAACTGAAAGAACCTATCCTGATTGTCAACAGTACTTTGCATTCATGCATCTCCCTGCTGTGGCAGAAGTAATGCAAAGGCATTAGTTTTTAAAAGCAAACAGATAGTCCCCAAAAAGTGAGATTATATTGGTTTCTCCCCCTCTTATTTGCAGACTTGAACTCATTTTTAAACTTCTTTGCTCCCCAGTATGATCAACATTTACTTAGGAGACACAGCTGGAATATTTTATATAGTTATAGAATGGATCATCCTAAACGTAGACTTTTTCCGGAAACCAGCCTCCAGAAATCTCTCTCTAAACAAGTTGAATTTTGGGCTTTTTCACCCAGAGATCTTAGAAAAGGTCAAAACTGCAAAAGTAACACACTGGTAGGAAATAGAATTTGTAAATCACAATCCAGAATTCTCAGCCTACAATCCTAACACCATTTACCGGGAATAAATCCCATTGACTTTGATAGGACTTACTCCTGAGCACACATGGTTAGGATTTTGCTATAGGAAAGGAACCAGTGAATTAAAGTTTTAGGCAATGGCGTATTGCCCCTACACAGTCATGATCAGTGGAAATCCCCAGAACATCAGTATAGGTGCCATCTAAATCTTATGTCATTAATTTGTCCACTGATGTTATTGAGACCGTATGAAATGAGCATCTTGAGAGCCTATTGGCAATAGGCAGAACCTGTTGAGATGCAGTAAGTCAAAACTTCTACTTCCAGTGATTAAAAACACTTCCTTGCTGTCCCTAGATGTTCAGACATCAAGCCAGACCTTCACTCAATACTTTAAGCTTCTGCCACTTCAGTAGTGCTCCTAAAAGTTCTGTATTGATTGTTAGATTGTACTGTAAGAAGTGTTAACTGGTGAATTTAGAGGTTCCCTTTAGCCGCAGGCTGTGTGCTGGACACTATGCAAGCCTTGCAGCATTTCTCTGATGAAAACAGGGATGTCCTAAGGAAAAGCAAGATGTTCCAGGATCAAATCAGAAACTGGGACAGCTTCTGTAAATCCGGGACTTTCCCTGGAAAATAGAGACACTTGGACAGTCTGGCTATGTTGTATTATTCTAAAACAAGCAAGTGAACAAAACCTTGTGCTATAATCTCCTTGACTATATCTAGCCATAGTAGGCGTTGATAGTAAGTGTATTTCATACTGTACTCCGAGTGTGCCATGTTTCAACTAGTTTATCAAGGTTAACATTGTTATTTTCTTTTGTTGTATGTCATAGATTCCACAATAATATTTTAACACCGTGATCCAGAATAGAGCTGATTATTGAATGTTAAGACAGGTGCAAGTCTGTATCATAGCTAGAGTGGGTCAACATTTAAATTACATAGAATCACTTGATGTGCAATGTCAATCACAGAAGATGAACTGGCATTTTGACCAGAATTTCCATCTGTACCATGCATTGGTTCCCAATGTAAACGGGAAGAATAAGAGCCAAACTGGTTCTGCTATTAGATAACCTACGTGGGGTTTTCAGGAGATGGCAAGGTCATGATGGAGGAAGAAACATTTTCTGGGTACTCAGCACTTTGCAGAACCATGTGCTCAGTTGTAACCTAGTGCTCTGTGTAACCTAGGTAAAGGTAAAGGAACCCCTGACTGTTAGGTCCAGTCACGGACGACTCTGGGGTTGCGGCGCTCATCTCGCTTTATTGGCCGAGGGAGCCGGCGTACAGCTTCCGGGTCATGTGGCCAGCATGACTAAGCCGCTTCTGGCGAACCAGAGCAGAGCACGGAAACACCGTTTACCTTCCCGCTGGAGCGGTACCTATTTATCTACTTGCACTTTTTATGTGCTTTCAGGAACAGGGACTGAGCAACAGGAGCTCACCCCATCGTGGGGATTCAAACTGCCAACCTTCTGATTGGCAAACCCTAGGCTCTGTGGTTTAGACCACAGCGCCACCCGCGTCCCACCTGTGTAACCTAGCCAGGACCAAATTACTGAGGCACTTTTTGAAATTGCTGTTGTTTAACTCTGCCCTCAATACAAATTGCTCAGGGAACTCAATGTGGTACCCTTTGCATAAATCACCTTTTGTACAGCCTTTTGGGGAAATGGGGTATAGGGAGAAAAGTCTTTAATGGATTACATGTAGTATAATTAAATGAGTATCAGTTCAATTCAATTAATGAAGATGATACTCGTAACAGGACACACAGTCAAGTTCACATTGATTTCCTTATTGTCTTTGAAGGGAGTTCAAGATCATTGATTCTTATTGCCTCATTATGAAACTTTTACATATACAGTATTTGATCATATTAGCTGAACCATTACAGAAGTTCAGTTAGCATTTTAAACAGTGTTGGGGTATATTAGAGCAAAATTAATGACAGACATGCATTTGGGGTAACCTACTGAAAATGTTTTAATTCAGAACTAAGACTCCTAATGTACAAAACAAACCTAACGATTTTGTTTCATTTTTCATTAACCAAGCATTTTTAAAAGAATACGATTGACTAATAAATTATGTGTTAGACATGCCCCATAGAAAACATATTTACATATGGAATTATGTTTGACTTAGCTTAAGTAGATGTTCTACATCATCTTCCACTGGAAGAACAGATTTTCAGTATTTAAACATCATACTGTAGATGTCATGCAAAATGCCATGTGAGGGGATGAATAGCCAGTTTGACCATCATCTCCATATCATGACAGCGGGCAGCACTAGTGACCAGCAGCCTGCCTGGGTTGCCCAATAAGAATGCAAAAAGGAATATCCTATGGAGTTAAGACAAATACTATACAGTAGCTAGCACATTCTCTTCTCCCTGGCTGCAGCTCTTCAAATCTCTTAAAGAGTATAATAGAGAGGTCTTTGCTCATGCGAATAGTATAGAACTGTAAGGGGGAAATTCCATTTACTAAGGACTGAAAGAGACACATTTGCTATCAGCATGCGTGCTTTGGAAACATCTTGAAAGCAAACCAGAACTACCGGTACTTACTGTGTGGAGCCAACAACATCATGGTACAAAATGCCCACACTCGCTCAGGGGGAAGCAAAACATTATGGCAGTCCTCTTTACAGTAAGCACGTCTAATAGCTATGAGCAATGCTTTTTTTCTGGTGGGGACGCACAGGTACGCATACCCCTAAACATTTTGTGAATCTAACATTGGCCTCATTGAGGGGCAGTATTTCAATATGAGTAGGAAAATGAGAGTATCCCTAAACATTTTTTTTAAGAAAAAAAGCACTGGTTATGAGTAGGAAGAGGAGCATAGTGTCAGTTCTGACAGCAATCTGTTTTCAGCAACGTCCCAGCAGCAATGTAAAATTTGTGCCAAACCTGAGCCTTATATCTATCAAAGATGTGAGATGAAACTCAGCTGTGTTTCATCTCGAAGCTTGTACCCTTAAACTTCTAGTTGACAAATGACTTTGCACTAATATTGAACAATGCTGATCAATACTGGTTTTAATTTTTTTTAAATATATATATTTATATGCTGCTTTTCTGGGCAGTCCAGGTGGCCTACAAAACAAGAAAAAATGTAATATCTCCTATATGACTCCAATAAAAAAATATAACATATTCACAAAATTCACAACACACACATATTCACAAAGGTAAAACAAATTCCAGCCTCCATCCGGAGAGTAGGACAAACATTTCCTGAAGGAAGGCCAGTTGAGACAAATGAGGTCACATATGTACCAAACATTTAAAGCCTTCTGATACCACTTTTAACAGTCATGACCTCCCTCAAAAAATTCTGGGAAATGTAGTTTGTTAAAGCTGCTGGCCCCACAGACCAACAATTCCTAGCACCTGTACCAAATTGCAGTCCCCAAATTCTCCATGACTGTTAAAGTGGTATAAGAGTGAGTTTAATGTATGGTGTGCATGCAACTAGAGTCTTCTAGGCTTCCCAAAAGCCTGAAATATAACCACCCACCCAGTGGCGTAGCATGAGTTGTCAGCACCCGGGGCAAGGCAAGTAATTTGCACCCCCTAACCCGTGGATTTTAGCACTGCGAGTGCAAGCGCGCCCCCCCAGATGTTGCGCCCGGTGCGGCCAGCACCCCCCTGCACCCCCACGCTACGCCACTGCACCCACCCCAGCTGTACAGGAAGTTCCAAAGGAGTGGAGCCACCACAGAAAAGATCCTCTCTCTTGTGGTCACCCACTTGACCAATGTAGGAGGTCATGGACCTCCAACTGAGATCTAAGTGGGCAAGATGGTAAAGTGCACATGGTCCTTCAGACAGCTTGGATCTGAACCACTTAGGGCTTGAAAACAGCATTTTAAATGGCTTGCACAAAACCAAATTTCCCTTGTCAGCACAGTCTCCTAGAATGAAAAAATGTGGTTCAGGCTAGTTGGGTACACCTTGGGTACCAGGTGCAACCATTTCCTGACCAGCCGGTCCCAGCCACTTGTGATAAATGAAGCAAGGCTCCAGGAAGTAACAGAAAGCAATGTAGAATGTCTTCAGCTTCTCCCAGGTGTGATGGCAATGTCTTTTAACTTCTGTCTAGAAGATGCTGCTGTTCATTGGCTACTGCAGAAACACTTTGGTGATCGCTGAATGGGCTAAAGTAGTGTCAAAGGGATACCTTTCCAAAATAACTGCTTGACCCCGGAACTCTTTGTGAACAGTGAATATGCTCATCACTAGCAGCGAAGTAGTTCAAATAAGTATTTTAACAAAGGACAACCTTATTATATCGTTCGTGAAATGAGCTGAGGCAGCAGTATCAGCTAATAATGAAGATGAGAAGATATATGCTGTTCTCAGAAGCAACTGCCGTTTGGAACTCGATTTGAGATGAGCCTAACGAAGCAATTTTCCTTTGTGGGATCTGGAGGAAACCAAAATGTAAAAACACGACACAATTTCAGTCAGCTTGAATGGGAACACGAACGATATACATGGGTTGCGTCTGAATTGTCCCTCTTCTCCTGCCTATATTTTCCTTGGGCTTCTCTAAATGAGCAATAACGTGGCAGCTCCCCTTTAATTGAGATGGGTTGCAAATTACTGCACCAAACAGATGCTTTACAATTACTAATGAGATTTCAAGACATTCAAAATGGAGGAAAATAGCATTCATATGCAAGCATTATTGGAATGTTGATTTTAACTACAGTTCTTTTTTTAAAAGTGCTAATAGAGTACCTCAGGGTAGCTCATGTTTTGCCCTCCAGATGTTCTTGGCTCTAAATCCCATCAGCCCCAGTCAACATGACCAATGGTCAGGGATGATGGGAACTGTAGTCCAACAACATCTGGAGGGCATCACACCTCTTGAGTAAGTAATGAGAGACAGAAGTCCCCTCTGGAATTTAACTGTGCAACACCATGCTCACAAGTTTCTGTACTGGAAAATGGGGTTTTCATTATTACAGAGTAAGACATGAACTAAATTCAGTAAAGCTCATTCCAGCCCAATTTGATTTCCAGTAAAGCCATTTCTTCTTATTTGCTCTGATTCTAGTTTCTTAAACTTGTATCTTAAGGCCTAGGTATGTGTGATGACAGAAGGCCTGTGTGTTTAAACCCAACCCTGCCACAGCAATGTAGAAAGGAAAGGGTGATTTAAGGAGTAAAAGGAAAATAGTGCTAAAAAGGGCAGAACCTCTCCTATCACCCCTATTGCTCATATTGCCGCAGTCTGTCCTCCACCATCACTTCTTTATCCAGGTCCCAATCCAAGAACAGGCAGGGGGAAAAGATTTGGGGTGAGGAGCTGCTGAAGAAACGGGGTGAGTTTTAAACTCTTCCCCTGTGTACCTGTTTTGCTCCTTAAAATCAGTCCTCTCCCCATCACTTGTTGCAGGTCCAGGTTTAAAACACACAGATCTGCTGCCAACTTGTCTCACTTGGCCCTTAGTAAAACTTGCTGAAGGAATTCAGTCTCGTTCTTCCCTCAGATATAATTAGACCCTGATTTAAAGCAAAGCAAATGACTTTGTGTTTTATACAAGTACGCTTAATTTGCATAGCCCCTTTCTAATGGTGTCTGAATTACAGAGAGAATGTTATACTACTGGAAGTATAAAATGCACTTGTATAAATTCTCTTTTATCTATGATTTTCTTCTTAATTTAAGCATCTGCTACATTACCACCATTCCTATATAAATATGGAGCTACAAAATTCACTGTAGGGAGGGGGGGAATCCCAGAGATTTTAGTGTGGTGCAGTAAAAAGGTAGTTCAAGTGGTTATAATAAAATATAACAAATTAATATAATTGACTACTTCACTCTGGATTTTCTTTTCTTTTCTCTTTTTGGCTGCTAAGATGGCTAGGTACAAAGGAGAACAGATATCCTAATGCCTTTAATTCATGCTTGTATAGAAGACGGAATCTCAGCAAGCTTTCACACAAAGCGTGTTCTCTTTCATAGAGAGCACGTGTTGCGGTGGGATCTGAACAGGCCACCCCTCTGTTGCTGGGCGGGTTAGTATGGATAACCATCCGAAGTGATTCGGTGGTTGGGTTACTGGGCAAATGTTGGTGTTGCCATTTAGGGGGACGGACCAAAGGTTATAAAATCAAGTCACGCAGCACTGACTGGTCTCTTTTGCTGCGTGCACCGGATCACCCGCTCACCCTCCCTAATCTAGGGCTATTGCGTTGACCTTGCTATGCTGGTCATGGGGTCTTCTGCTTTGGGGGCAGGGGCCTGGTAGGAATTTTGTCCATTTGGCTGATTGGCTGGTGCCATTTGGTTTTTGCCTACTGCGTAGCAAATCGTCACAACTTGTAAGGTTGCGGTTAGGCATTGGTTAAAAAATTGGTTGGTGGAGGGGTATGGATTTGGCTGTGCCTGCCCCTCCAATGCTGCTGCTGCAAGGGAATTCCGTTAAAGGAATCCAGGGGCTTGCCATTCTTTCATCCGTACCCCTGAATGGGGCTTAGGGCCACGCAAGCCCCTGGGAGCATGTGGGGAGACGTGAGGGTCTGGTGCTCGGCTCCATGCTCCCCCCAATATTGTTTTCCCTTACTGGCTTTTGCGGGAATCCGGAAGTCAGTTCTGTCCTGAGGTGGGGGACAGATAGTCAGAACCAATGCCTAAGCAACCACTCACATTTATGTATTTTAATAAAGTTGTGGCCAAAATTATGCCAAAAACCCTAAACAAAAATTATGTGTGAATTGTGAATTATTCAGGGGTGGTTTGGGGGACCTCGACACTCAAGTTGCAGCTGCTGACATTTCCTTTTCCACACCTTTGTTAAAGATTCAGAAGCCCTCCCCCTTTTATGCAACCAGACTTCCCTGGTTGCACATCAACTGCAGGGTTGAAGAATTCAACAACAAGCAAACCACAACAAGAGTCCTGGGGCAAAATACACAAGCCACAAGATTTTGGAGACGTGCAAGTCTACATTCCAGCTACCACTAGTGACTTGACCCATAACTGTTCACCATACCACACAGATTACAGTTCTTAAATACTCAAATTGTGTGGGGAAATGTTAGAGAGCATAATTAAATCTATACAACTAATTCTTGATTAAACATCTCAATTTTAGCCCCCAGTACGCAAGAACCCAGTCACACCATATTCCTTTTTGGCACCCAGCACATTCACACACAGAAAACCCCTTTTTGTGGTCATTCTTTACAATAACTCAGATCCTTTGGATTATGTTTGATCTACCCAGCTTCCTAGTTGAAGTCCAGTCTATTAAAAAAGGTAAAGGTCAATGCTCAGTTACTCCCCACCAAGCTTTTGAGACAAAATTCTTAACCTGATAGCATACTTACTATTTAATGGAGTTCACTGAAGATAGGTCATCTGGCAACAGCAGAATCTGGAGATAAAAGCAACACAACCAATTAATGCCTCTTGTCATTGTCGTTGACAGATCCCGCATGGAAGGTCCTTATGTTTTTTAACCAGTTCATTGAAGGCAGCTATCCAACAGGTCCAGCTTTTCTCACCTCGGTACTGATCTTCATCCCTTTAACCCCCACAAGGGATCAGACAACTGTAGTCTCATGACCAAAGAAGTCAGATCTGCCACTGAGCTCGAAAGGCAACAGAAACTTCCTTCCCCTATGAGAGCTGATATAGTTCATTCTGTCCAAGGCTTATAAAGTAGCAACTAAGATGTTTCTTACCGCATCCATGTTTGAGATCTTGAGCAGAGCATTTAAGAGTCCCATAGTAGCACTGACACAACTGACATCCTTCTTGAATCCACTCCTCGTGCTTGATGGCACCACAACTCCTAATAAATAAATCACAACACATTTTGTAAACTAGAGTTTGTGTGGAGATGCTTCTGTTCCCAAACCGATATCCAGCTATATTATAAAATTACAAATGATATATTCTTTTATTTATTCTAGAATAAGGTGCTGGTTTTGACCTTTAAAGTCCTAGGAGCCTCATACTTACAGGACCGCCTCTCCTGGTATGTTCCACAGAGGACCTTAAGGTCCATGAATAATAATAGCTTAAAGGTCCCGGGCCCTAAGGAAGCCAGACTATCCTCCACCAGAGCCAGGGCTTTTTCAGTGATGGCTCTGACCTGGTGGAATGCTCTGTCCCACGAGACTAGGGCTCTGCAGAACTTGATTTCCTTCCACAGGGCCTGTAAGACAGAGCTATTCCGCCTGGCCTTCAATTTGAATTTGCCTGATCCTCTTTTTCCTTTCGTCTTCTATGAAGAAACCCTTTCTGGGACCCCACATTTAAATTCTTCCCTGGTCTCCTTGCTGGCCCTAGTAGGAACAACTTGGCCAGTAAGCCCTGGCGATCATTCAATGTCTACTGACTGGGTTTTTTGTTTTCAAAATGACCCCTGAATTTTTGAATTTTATTGATATTGATGCTGCACTTTATGTTGTATTCTGTGCTGTTTTATGCTGTTTTTAAGTTGCATTTTAATCAATGTTTTATATTTGCTGTTAGCTGCCCTGAGCCTGGTTTTTAAACCGAGAAGGGCAGGGTATAAATAAATTTATTATTATTTATTATTTTATTATTATTATTATTATACAGGAACAGGCATTTTCCTCTTCAGAAGTACTTATTTGGGAAACTTTGGAACTGATGTAGATCTTGCCGAAATAAGTCACAGCCAGCCATTATTTTCCTGCCCACAGAATGGTAATGCCACATCAACTCTTAAAATGCCCCGTGAAGGGAGATCTATATGATCTCTGCAGAATGACCTATGACTGCACTAAGTGAAACTCTCGATGGGTGCTTCTAACACTATCCTTTAAAACTTCAAGAATTCAGAGGCACCACCTGCCTTTACATACCTGATCCTTGTATCATATTCACAGTGTCTTCCAGTGAAGTGTTTGGGGCATATGCAAAAAGTTCCCAGGAAGCAAGTTCCTCCATTTTGACAGCACTGCCTGTTCACTTTGTTACCTGGTGTCAAAGGACGGGGGAGGGGGGGAGGAGAATGAAATTGGTTATCTAGGTCTCTGTTACCAGACTACCTGATGTTGTTTAGTCGTGTCCGACTCTTCATGACCCCATGGACCAGAGCACGCCAGGCACTCCTGTCTTCCACTGCCTCCCACAGTTTGGTCAAACTCATATTGGTAGCTTCAAGAACACTGTCCAACCATCTCGTCCTCTGTCGCCCCCTTCTCCTTGTGCCCTCAATCTTTCCCAACATCAGGGTCTTTTCCGGGGAGTCTTCTCTTCCCATATGGTGGCCAAAGTATTGGAGCCTCAGCTTCAGGATCTGTCCTTCCAGTGAGCACTCAGGGCTGATTTCCTTAAGAATGGATGCGTTTGATCTTCTTGCAGTCCATGGGACTCTCAAGAGTCTCCTCCAGCACCATAATTCAAAAGCATCAATTCTCTGGCGATCAGCCTTCTTTATGATCCAGCTCTCACTTCCATACATCACTACTGGGGAAACCATAGCTTTAACTATACAGACCTTTGTTGGCAAGGTGACTACCTCATATTGCTTCAAAATTTAATGCTGAACAGCTAAGTGCTGTAAAGAATCCACCACGTTTCCCATGAAGATTGGAGTTAAGCTAGGGTCTTTATTATAAACAGAAGATGGATTGTGGACACTGATTTTCAATCATTTTAGTATGACTTCTGCACCATGGAATTAGCTCACTTTGTGGTGGTTGAGACGCAAGCAGTTTTTGTATTGTTTGTAGCTTTATTCCATTTTAAACAAAAAGAAGGATTTCTAGGCCCGTGCATACTTAGACTAACAATGCATTAGAACAGTTAAGAAAGCAATTAAGGTTTTCAGTGTCAAACATTAAGTACAAGAAGGAAGTACAGTCATACCTCGGGTTACAGACACTTCAGGTTGCATTTTTTTGGGTTACGGACTGCCGAAACCCTTAAGTACCAGAATGGGTTACTTCCGGGTTTCGGGGGCACGCATGCGCAGAAGCGCTGAATCGCAACCCGCATGTGTGCAGATGTGCCGCTGCGGGTTGTGAATTTGCATCCTGCACAGATCACGTTCGCAACCCAAGTGTCTACTGGACAAGAAGCTAGAGAGAGAGATAGAGAGAGACAGACAGACAGACAGATAGCTACTTTAACATTTCTTTATTATTTAAAATGTTAGGGGGAAATCCTAAGACCTGTTGTGCCATATAATAAATGTATCCGAAATGTGCTTATTATCTTCTGCTGCAACACAAGGCAGAAATAACAGTTGCAATGTTGCAGGCAGATATGTCAATATATTAGTGTCATTTGCCATTGATTGAATACATATTCATTTAGAATGTTTACATCCTACTTTATAGCTCTGAGAAGCTCTTGCAGCAGCTGACAAAATATTTTAACAATAAAAATTGCGTTTAAGTCTCATTCCAGGGATAGAAATAATATGGTGCCAGGAATATTCAGGTGATGCTTTCTGCCTTTATATCTCTTCCCTGGCATTGCCCTTTGACCTTCTGCTACAGTTTCCATTGGTCTCCGCAGAGCAAGTCTTCCCTGGATGGCAGTTGCCAGGCAACAGCTCCCACTGCTGTTCTCTCAGATGAGGCAGTGGTGCTCAATGGTTGGAGCTCATCATGTATAGCACTGTGGTAAGTGCTGACCCTAATTATAAGTGCTATCACAAATTAGACATGCAAATTCCAGCAATGTTTCTTTACGACAAATATCTCTCTCTGTGCTAATGGGGGGGGGGAGGGTATTTAATTGTATGGCGAGGATTACAATATAATGAATGTGAATCACTTTAAATGTTTCAAAGGCACAACATACTTAAATGTTTATTTAGCTGACTGAGAACCAAAATGTTAAGCTTTGAGGAAATGTTAAGCTTTGGGTTTAAACCCCATTAGTTGATAAATTCTACCTCTGTGACATCAGAACCGTAAGGACATCTTTCTCAGGAAGACCATAGAGTACTTTGAAAATTTAAAAGCTCAACTTACCATCTGCGGCCAAAGGAGAGTTGCTTTTCTTTTTCTCCGAATTAAGGTGATTTAAAACATTAAATGTGTACAGAGGAATATTCAGCTTCTCCTGGCTTGAATCCTTATCACAGTTTTCTCCTTCACAGGCTTCAAAAGGAAGAAACGTGTCAAACTCACAGTAGGGGCTAATCTGTCATTTCTGCACATGCAACCATGAAGCAACAGTACACAAAGGTGACGTATTTGTATCAAGCCACATAAAAAGATATATGCAGTATTTTGTTCTTAAAACAGTTTTCTTGAAGCTTCATTTTAGTGGAATAGGGATGGGAAAATCAAAGGGGAAACCACCTTTGACAGAAAGAAGTGAAGTTGCGTTCTATAAAGTGCAAGTCAGCTAAACTATACTGAGAGTAAGCCCATTGATTTTAATAGGTCTACTCCAAGCATTACTGCATACATTTAGAAGACACATACCCAAGAATCCTGGGAACTGCAGTATATACCCCACAGAGCTATAATTCCCAGAAACCTTAACACATTATAGTTAAGGGTAATAGAGGCAGATTTGAAATAAATTGGAGAAATCACAGGGTTGCAAATTAATTGGTCCAGATCAGAGATGATACTTAACTATGATGAAGATGAAAAATGATTTTTTTTAAAGAAATAAAAATAGATATATAGCTAAGAAATGTAATAAAGTACTTGGCAATAAGTATAACAAGAAATTTAGAAAATTTAGAATTTTAACAAATTAAAGAGGGAAATTAAGGAAACGGAGGAATATAGGGACATTAAGCTTTCATGGTTTGGAAGAATAGCGATAATTAAAATGAAATTTTTGTTTAGAATAATTTTTTTATATATAGAATGTTACCAATTAAGATACCTGAGACAGAGATAAAGGGTTAGCAAAGTAGGATCAAGAAATTTTGTAATGGGGATAAGAAATTAACAAAAGAAGATGGTAAAAAACAAAACGAAACAAAAACAAATTATAGTTCACAGGATTCTTGGTGTGTGTGTGTGTGTGTGTGTGCTTTTAATGTACGCAGCCTCACGCTGGATATCACTGATAATGGAACTTCTAAGAGAATACCATCATTTCTGGACTTTCTCAAAGTCTCTCAGTGTGAGGCAAATCACCTACAATACATATGTGTTACAGAGGGTGCTACTCAGTCCACCCCCTTGTATATCTTGGTATCAGGGACCGGACATCAGAAATACCTGCCTTTCAGGTATTCTGCACTCCAAGTTTATGGGAAGCTGCTATGAGGAAAAGCGCTTCATTTCTACAATATTAGGTATATACTAACCCTATTAACATCAAGAAAACACCTTCATGGTACACTTTTCGGTGCCTGCTAAAATATTACTACTTAGATAAGATGCTTAGAAAGTTGAGGTAATTTTAATCTGTTTTAGTATTTGAACATTTGTACGTTTTAATGTATGGTTGTGAATTTTTATTTTTATTTTACTGTTTTATCTTTTGTAAACCGCTTTGAGGTCTTTTACAAGCAAGCAGCATGTAAATTTTACGAAATAAATAGAGTAATAATTTTTGAACGTGAATGATCTGCAGCGACATCTTTTGTTTGTTTTACATGAAAAATACACAAAGCAGGTATTTTTAAGAGTTTCCTTACCGCCTCCAAACTGGATTACTTGAACTGAGAGAGCCGCAGTAATGAAAACCCTGAAACAAATTGCACAAACCAAAAGAATGTTTTTGAAACGATGCTAGTCTAAATTTCATAGAAACTTAAAGCCATAATAAATACTCATGATAACATGCACAAGAACTACTGTATAGTCTGCCTAACATGACATGCAGGAAAATGAAAAACAAACCAGTCCTTAGATGGAAAAATTACTGAATACAATGTTAGCTACAAGAAATATAATTCTCAACTGTTTAGCAGCAGGTGTTGAATTACCAGGAGAAATCAACAGCAACAAAGTATGTATGGGATGTACTATATTACTTTACCTTAAAGCCTGCATTGTTTCAGCACTTCGCTCTTTCCAGTGTTCACCAAATCTACCTGGTGGAAACAATGAAGAACTCTCCTACAGATGTCAATCAGAGCCTCAGAAAACAAATGAAAGCTGAATGAGGGGGTGCAATTTATAGGAAGAAGCGAGCTTCAACCATTAACCCCTTCTTGTTTTCTCCGCCCATCGTGTCACCTGACTTCCATCAATTTAATATTTTGCCTGGGGGTGGGAGTGATGTATATTTATTTATAAAAAATACTTGTATACCCCAATCTCATTTTTTTAAACAAATCAAAGCAGTTTACAACCACACACAAACAAATTTACATGCAATAAAAAAAACATGTAAAAATTTAAAATCACAGGTCATCAGCTAACTATTACAGAAGAAATTTCCTTTATTGTCTTAATGTTCTTTCATCGGTCTTTGAAATCAAGACCCTCCACTTTCAGGTATAGTTGATTTGAATTAATATCTACATGCAGCACCTTTTCTACCCCTTTTTTCTTGATAGTGAAGATTTTTTACAAATATTTTCTATGGTATTTAAATTTATTTCCTTGGTCTGCTTGACCAATGGGAAAGGTGAAGGAAGGGGAGAGCAGGGATGTGGGAGAATGGTCTAAAACAATGAGTCCCCCCTATTGATATTCTTCATATTATTTCATTGAGAAAATTCTTGATACTACTCCTTCCACAGCCTCTTGAATCTCAACAGAGACAAATGCAAAGTTCTGCATGTAAGCCTACATAATGCAAATCCATAATAATAATAATAATTATTGGGCAGCTCCCAATTATTAAAAACACAATAAAAGATCAAACATTTGAAACTTCCCTAAACAGGGTTGCCTTCAGGTGTCTTCCAAAAGCCAGAGAGTTGTTTATTTCCTTGACATCTGATGGGAGGGCATTCCACAAAGCGGGTGCCATTACTGAGAAGAACGATAGGAAGAAGGATAGCTGACTTGACAGTAGTATACGTGAAAGGGATCTCTGGATAGATTGTGTCACTTCAACTCAGGAACCCCTTTATCATTGAGCCTGCGCACACATCTTGGGAGTCATCATGGGGAAGCTACTAAAAATGTCTTTCTTCGGTAGAGAATTCCTTATCTGGCTGGAACGCTGTGATGCCTCTTATGTGCAACTCCATCATGGCGTTGCCATGCCCTTGGTCCATGTTTCAAGTGAACTTCCACAAAAGTCTGCTTGGATAACCTACTGTCACTCTGACTTCAAGCCATTTTAAAGCATGACAAAGCCCTCTGGATATTCGGAAGCGTGGATGGGAAACCTGTGACCCTCCAAATATTGCTGGACTCCCAACTCCCATCAGCCCCCACCAACTTGTCCAGTGGTCAGGGATGATGGGAGTTGTAGACCAGTAACATTCTGAGGATACTATAAAATTTGGCCCATGCTTATTCTACCAATAGCCTTCTCCAATCCCATCTTCTGCTGCTTATGGATGGAAAGAAAAGGAAGAAGTTTGATGTCAGAATGATCTTTATTTACATATATTAAGTAAAATAGAAACATTGCCACTCGACCCCACCCCCACCCATCTCCCCCCCTCCACCTCTTTCCCCCTTTTCTTTCTAATGTCTCAACAAATGAAACTGATTTGTAAAATGTTACATGGAGAGAAAAAAATATGAGAGACATTGCACACACTTTTGTAAATCAAGAAAATATTTAATAGTAATAATAATAATAATAATAATAATAATAAATGATCTTTATTATTCCTTACATTTTAAACATCTCGGTTGCTCACTATTATTGTTATTATTTGAGTCCCAATCAAATATGGCTGAAGCCCAGCATTGAACTGGGTATCCTTAAATCCACTGAAACCATTAACGAGTCTGTTACTATATAGTAACATTTGATTGATTGAAACTAGTAATACACAGAACTCTGTGTGCTGGATTTAGGGCTTTGTCTTCAATGTATTTAGCAAATAAATATTGTATAACATTTGTGGGGGACAGATAATATAGTTATAAGAGGACTAAGCCAGAATAGAAGGGATGCGGGTGGTGCTGCGCTCTAAACCACTGAACCTCTTGGGCTTGCTGATCAGAAGGTCGGCGGTTCGAATCCGTGCGACGGGGTGAGCTCCCGTTGCTTGGTCTCAGCTCCTGCCAACCTAGCATTTCGAAAGCACACCAAAAAGTGCAAGTAGATAAATTGGTACCGCTCCGGCGGGAAGGTAAATGGCTGCTCTGGTTTCAGTGTTCCGTTGCGCCAGAAGCAGCTTAGTCATGCTGGCCACATGACCCGGAAAAACTGTCTGCGGACAAACACTGGCTCCCTCGGCCTGTAAAGTGAGATGAGCTCCGCAACGCCAGAGTCGTCTGTGACTAGACTTAACCGTCAGGGGTCCTTTACCATTGCCTTTTAAAGCCAGAATAAAGGAAAATATATGCTACTGAACAGAGAGGTACTACCAATACCCAAAGTGCTCTTATTGAGTAAATGCTAATGCTTAATCAATTATATTTAGGATTTTGTATTTACGCTGAGTGACTCATATCTGATATTTGGTGATGATATATAGAAGAGTTTGCTGCTTTTAGGTTGCCCACTTACTGGGGAGTAAACCCTACTGAGAACCAGTGAACTGTTGTGTTGGACTAGGGCCTAACCTACCTCCCAGGATTGTTGTGGGAATAACATACAGGGGAGGAAAACTATGTACACCACCTTGAATTCCTTGGAGGAAAAGTAGGATATAAATGCAATCAATCAATCAATCAATCAATCAATCGAACTCCATAGGATTTATGTCTGAATAGGATCACATTGTTCATGTGGGAAACGGTTCTTGAATAAATGTTTCACCATACTTCCACTTATTGGTTCAAATGATTTTACATGAATTAATTGAAATGTCATTGAGCTGTATGGGATAAGAGACCTAATATGTAGTGGCCATCAAAACCTTTGCAGGCATTGAGCTAATGGATTGCCTAATGTGAAATTAGTAATTAATGAGTACTTCTGAAAATTTGAAAGAGATGTTCTATGCATAGATATTGCATTAAATTAATTGTTCCTAACAAAAATGACTGTAGCACAGCTCTTCTGTTTTCTGGTTTCCCACTAGAAGCTGTTTGCTGAAGTTCATTAGGGTGTTGTTCTGTAAGACAAGATTAATTACCCTTGGACTAATTGTTTTCTAATTGATTCCCGAAACGACACATTATTGATCATTTGGTTCTGCTTTTCTTTATTTGT